GCTTCCAAAAAGCATATATTTTATAAGTCTTTCATTTTGTATTCAGCTTTGGCCAACTCATCTTTACTTGCATTATTTTAAATCAGATTAGAGACCTGGCCACTATCAAATAAATGTATATCAACGAAATTCTAGATAAACAAGAGGGCCATACTTTAGGGGCACTGGAGTTCCCATGTTTACCTTTAAGAGAAGAAATGTATTGATCTAGTCCACTTGTGCTGCTGTTAACAACCCTGCTTTCATCAGTGACAGAGAATGCTGAATGCAGTGTTCTGCTGTAGACTGGTCCCATTAGAGAGATGCAGCTTCCAGTACTAGTCTTTGCGATTGCAGATGCTGGTTAAGAGAAGTGATTGGGCAGCAGCTCTAGTGACAACACATCCAACTGCCTTCATAAGTGCAGAAGCAGCTGCAGTTTGTTTTTGTTTTCTGTTTGTTTGTAGGATTGCCAGGGGGCTCCAGGGTCTGTCTTGGGATCTTCTGGCACGCACGCAAAGTGAACACACCATGATGACATCACCCAGAAGTGGTGTCATCATGGTGCCAGCGTTGGGGATGGCACTCTAGTTTTTGGGCATAACTCTATAGTTTGAGCCCAATTTTACCATAGAGTTTTGCCCAAAAACTAGAGTGTCACCCCCTTGACGTCAGCAACTTGATGACATCACTTCTGGGTGACGTCATTATATCACGTTTGGGGGCATTTGCGGGCAGGGTTTTGCGGAAAGGCCCCCACAAAAGCAGGGGAACCCCCCTCCAGATCAAGGGCCTGCCAGCCCTATTTGTTTGCCATATATATTGGTTGGATGTCTTCGGATCTAATCAACAAATTCTTGGGCTCCAGTGCTTCATGCAGATGAACAAATGGGCTTCACAGTGATCTCTTACAGCCTGCCCCCACAGATTGTGCCTGAACCCCCCCCCCCAGGAAGCTGCATTGTTCTTGGGGCAAGAACAATGCAGCCAAGCTGGCTCAATAACACAGGTTGCTCTGTGGACAGCACCTGTGTTAATATACATGCCTTTCTTTGGCTCAAACCCTGCCTATTTGGTAGGAAATTGAGGTTTTGAGGAGAATGGACTAGATTGTACAGAGTCAGACCATTGCACTATCTGGCAAGCACTACCCTAGCTGGTAGTGGCTCTCCACAGTCTCAAACAGATAAAGGTTCTTCCCAGCACCTGCTTCCTGCACTTTTCAAGGTCTGTCTGAGGCAGCTAATGGCATAAAACAAAACAATAAATAATAATTTTATAAACAAATGCTCAGTAAATTAAAACCAACAACAGCCATCAACAATATTTTAAAACAACAACCACTAAAATAAACATAAGAACAGATATAAAAGCAGCTGCATAAAAGCAGGGAGAAAATAGGACAAGAGGACGCAAATTTGGTTAAAAGCTGGGTTGAATAAAAACATTTTGATCTGGTGCCTAAAAGTCATTAATGTAGATCCCAAGCTAACTTCAAGGGAGGGAACATTCCACAGGCAGGGTGCCACCACTGAAAAGGCCTGTCTCATCTCTGTGGGCAGGAGCACTAGGAATAATGCTTGAGATTAGGACTTTAACTGGTGGGCTTGACTTCAGGGAACCTAGCCACAAGCCATTCAAATCCTTAAAGGTAAGTTATAAGTAGGCAATGCAGATCTTTCAGTACAGGGGTGATATGGTCACTGTATCTGTCCCCAACAACAACCAACCTGTTGTATCTTGAACTGAAGTTTCTAAAAAGTCTTCAAATGCATCCCCATATAAACCCCACTGCACTAATCTAACTAGGATGTTGACCACATGACGGCCAAATCACACCTTGCAAGGAATGGTTGTAGATACTGTTATCAGACAAAACTGAAAAGGTGCTATGTGCCACAGTGAACATCTGAGCCTCTGACCATAGGACAGGATACAGAAGAACCCCAAGGTATGGATGTGGTCTTTCAGGAGGAGTTCAACCCCCTCCCCCCAGGATACACTGACTCATTCCCTGAGCAGCTTTACCATTGACCAAATGCCCCTCAGTCTTGTCTTGGCTTCAGTTTATTGGTCTTTTTCTGTCCTCTTACCTTCTCCAAGCATTTGTGCAGGACCTCCTCAGATCCACCTGACTCATTTCTCAGAGAGAACCAGAGTGGAATTTCATCTGTATATTTGTAACACCTCACGTCAAACATCTGGATGGTCTCTCCAAGTAATTTCATGTAGATGTTAAATAGCATGAAGGACAAGATTGGCCCTTGTGGGACTCCAAAACATAAAAGTCATGGAGTCAAGAAGTAGGGCCTCTCCACCTTCTGAAAGTTGCCAGCCAGGTAGGAGCAGAACCACCATAGTACAATGCCCACCACTTTCCACTCATCCAGCTGCAAGCATATCAAAAGGCACTAAGAGGTCCGGGAAAACAGCCAGGGATACACTGCCCTACCACTTATCATTCAGGGCCTTTTCTTCCCAAACCTAGGACTGAATCTGGTTTGAAATGAGTCTAATAAATTTCCTCCAAGTCCACTCAATTTTTTTTGGCCACCATGAGCTTGAGCACTTAACCCAAGCTTTATTGTCATCACTCAGCCTCGCTAGTCTCTTTTCTGTAAAACAGAGGATGCAGCAGTAAATTTAGGGTCAAAGGTGCCATTTAAAGATCTGGGATCTGACCCTATCTCTGACTTCTCCTCAGTTGGGGGCCTTGGGCATGTATGTCACTTCTCTCCATCTGGCTGACTACTCTGTTTGCAGCAGTGGTCAACTATTTGACTCAGGGAAGCTTACAAAAAGGGCATGAGGGTTTCTGGTCACACAAGTGACAAAAAGAATTGTATCTTAGCAAATCTCTTTAGGGTGATTTTTTTTCTTTAAGAATGTGACTTAATTTTTGCTCCAGTTGTGATATTTTAACATCTGTGGTTTTAAAGCAAAGGCCAAATGTTTATCTGTGATCCCTTCAGAGCTGACAGTTGTGATCTTGCTGGCCATACAGTTGCTGATTAAAAGCTCCCTACAGGGATTTCATCCATGATGCAGCCTGCCAGTTTAGTCTAACCATCAGTCTGAAAGGTTATGGTAACAGCACAGGCATGATGTTATGCATATTGCAACAGCACTGGATACAATCCTGCACTCACAGAGTGCAGAGTGGCTCCCATTGCGCTTGATAACTACCCTTCCCTCCTCCATCAACAGTATTTGTGTTCGCTCTTCCAAACATGGTTTGTCTTGACAACTGAAGCCCTCCTGAACGTGACTGCCAGCATTGTTTTTGGCACACAGGAATATCTCAGCAGAAGCAGTGTGAGGGAGGCTGGGGAAGAACCTGCAGTGGAAATATGTGGGAGGACTTTAGCTGATATTGGCTAGCTCTATTAGGCCAAAATGCATGCAGAAGAGTCCCCCTGGAGGCAGCTGAAGGGGGGGGGTAACTTGCAGAAATTTGTTCACCGTCTTGGGAAAGATCATGAATTTTATCTAGTTAGCTGTGTGAATAGCTATAACACTGTATAGTCCACTTTTCTATGTAACTGTAATCAATGACTGTATTACTGTCCTCTCATGTTACATGCATAAGATGCTTAATACGAGCTGGAATGATACTGAAGCTATTAAGAGATGTAGCTTCTCTGGGACCAGATCTTTATTCATTCAGGCTCAGCTTTGTCAGTTAAGTATACCTCACCTACATTCAAAGATCTTCACTAACTCCGTGTTTGTTACCAGGCACAAATTCAAGTGCTGGCTTTGTCCTATAAAGATCTAAAGAGTCTGCGATCAGAATATCTGAAGGACCATCTGCTCCTCTATGAACTTTTCCATCCAGGTGAGATTCTTCAGTCAGGGGACCTATACTAAGTACCTCCATCTCCAGAAGTTAAGTGAGTGGCTGCTGGAGACACAGCCTATACTGTGGTTGTGCCCTTGTTATGGAACTCCTTCCCATGGCATAGCTAAGCTAGTGCTATCTTTGCTATCTTCCATGAACTAAATAAGGTCTGTTTACCCAAGCTTTAGGTATCAGTACTGCTTGTTTAATGTTTCGACCAGCTGGTTTACCTCCTGGGCCATTTTGTTTCTCTGACCTCTTAGCTAATTAGGATTTTAACTACTTTTAGATGCAGTTTCTTTTGTCGACTGATTTTGTAATTGCTTTATGATTATTTTTAAGGATTTTGCAAATTGCCTTGAAGGTTCTCAGTGATGGTTAACAGCATTGTTTCCAAATCCTCAGCTGGTGCCTATTGGTTGTACCTCCACTGGTTTGTATGAGGACAAGTATCTCTAAATATAATTATTTAATTCATTTAGGTACATAGGTTCAGACTACACATGTGATGCAGTATTTAGGGAGATGCTTGGGAGTCTGAAGAGTTCAAAATCCAAAGAAGTGGCTTTGGATAAATCACTGCCTCAGCCCTATCTCATCCCATTAGCAAAGAGGGAATAGTACAGAATAATAGTGATATGCGTCACAGAAAACAATAAAGACTGAATTACTAAGTACTGGATAGATAAACTAACTGGCAGAGTTCATACTTGCCCCAGATAGGGTCCGGGGGGGAGTGGGGGAGGAGAGAGAAGGGTAGGATTGTTTGGGAACTAGTCTCTCAGTTCACAGCTGTCCATAAAACACTAACTTTGATGGAAGCAGGCCCATTCTGTATGATCTTGCCCAGTTCAGATATATAAAAAATCTGGTTTTTACCAAGTCTTACACAGTAACTTGTGGGTCTCTGGGCAGCTGTTCAGATCTCAATAAGATACTACCCCATAGAAAGATTCACCTTATACTCTGAGAAGCTTGGATCTAGATTATCACAATAAGAATAGAGAAACCATTAAAAATAATTAGAAAGCACAGCTTGTACAATTTTCATTACTAACATGATCATCAGGAAATTACATTATGGCTTTATTATTGATGGACTCAGTATGTAGCAAGTAAACCTAGGGAAGAAAGGCAAGGCTTTCATGATAAGAAAACGATCAGGTTATAGATGCATTACCTTTTTGTCACTCAGCCCAGACACCTGGTCCACATACTCTTCTTGGATCATGAAGGCAGCCAAATTGGCAGTGTAACTGGCCAGAAAGATGACAGCAAAGAAGGCCCACACAGACACCATGATTTTGCTAGTAGTTCCCTTGGGATTCTGCACTGGTACAGAATTGTTGAATACCAGGCCCCACAATAACCAGATTGCTTTGCCAATGGTAAAAGAAGGACCACCAGGCTCTGAAATGACCAAAGTATAAGCACAATCAGTCAAACAGCTGCTGCAGTCTGAGGGCCTTTCTAGACAAAGATTTTAAAAAACCAGGCAAACATATACAGTTTTTTCTTAAAGATTTCAGGTTTTGGCAAGCCAGAGCACCCCATGGGTCATGCACTTCTCCCAATTCTTTCCTTGGTTAATGGTAACCTTCATTCAGCAATACATCTGATATAGCTAACCATATTGGCTTTGATATCTGGTTTGGAAATTACATCAATGGTGCCAATGGTTACATCAGTTCAGATGTAACACTGAACTACAGCAATTGCTAATTCTGCTTTCTTGAGAGCAAACCAATCAGAATATAAACTCTTTAAATGAATAAGTTATCAAGGAAGGTAGAGAGAAATTTACCCTGCCAATGACAGTAGGAACAAAGGCATGCACATGGGAAAATAATAATAATAATAATAATAATAATAATAATAATAATAATAATAATAATAATAATAATAATAATAATAATAATAATAATAATAATAATAATAATAATAATAATAATAATAATAATAATAATAATAATAATAATATAATGGCATCAGGTACAGTAAAGAAAACATCCACTGCTTCCACAGGATAAAGTGTGGGGTTGACCCAATTAAAAGCTAACCTTCCCTACTGAATTACCCCCCCAGGCTCCCTCCCAAAAAAATCCCTAGCTACGGGGCTGGAGAAGAGCCCTCCTGGGGGGAGCATATTCCTATTTATTGTTCCTAACAAAGTCCTTGGCTATGCACACTTTAACACTGGAGAGGGGAAGCAGGAAGCACACAAACTTCAAATAACTGAAGAATACATTTTTTTCTTTAAAAAAATCCGTCCCCAAAATGTTGGGCATTGCTTGCATGTTTTAAAGAAGGATATAGAAGTATTGTGCTTGTGAGATTCTCTAAAAATAAAAATAAAAGTAGCCTTTCAAAAATAAAAAAATGGTAAACTTTATATAGCATATAAAATAATGTGGATAAGGGGAAGAAGAGGGGTTTGGTGCTTGTCACTATTGTCTGTGACACTATCATGCATGCCATAAAATTCACACAGTCACATTCCACATAGTAGTGGCGGGGGGGGGGGGGGGGGGGCTCACAGCTCCTTTACTTATGGTTGCCACTGCCAGCTAGTAATGCCAGTTCCCAGGTAGGGGCAGGGGATGACCTGATTTTTGGTGCTCCCCCCAGACATGGCCAGTTTGCTGGCAGGGGGAAGCCCCACCCCAACAGTCATCCGCGGCCCGCTTGAAAAAAGCAGGCATCATGCACGCCTGCCCTGCAAACCATGAATTCGCGGCTTGCAGGGCAGGTGTGTGCAGCACCCACTCTTTTCAGGGGGGGGCAACCTGCTCCTGACCTTCAAGCCGCGAATTTGTGGCTTGCAGGGCAGGTGTGCAGGGTGCCTGCTCTTTTCAAGTGGGGTCCACCCGCTCCTGCCATGCAAGCAACAAATTTGTGGTTTGCAGGCCAGGTGCACAGGGCACTCGCTCTTTTCAAGCGGGGGCCATGTGCACCTGCCCTGCAAACCGCAAATTCGTCACTTGCAGGGCAGGTGTGTACGATACCTGCTTCCCCCCCAACCATTTAAAGGGAAGGTTCCCTTTAAATGGTTGAGGAAAGGTGGGAGGTGTGCGTGCAGCACTGCAACCCCAACACAATGATGTCATTCTGCATGACATCATTATGTTGAGAACAGCCCCTCCCAGAATGCCCCCCAAATCACCTTGCTGGGATCTGACAACCCTATTGCCACTTCTGGGTTGGCAAATACCGGGAGATTTTTTGGGTGGAACCTGGAGAGGGCAGAATTTGGGGAGGAGAAGGACCTCAGCAGGGTATCATGCCATAGAGCCCACCCTCGAAAACAGCCATTTTCTCCAGGGGAACTGATCTTTTGGAGATCAACTGTAATAGCGGGAGATCTCCAGGTGCCACATGGAGGCTTTTCCTCCTCCCCTCTGCTGTGCCTCACCTATGGAGTAGTGAGAAGGTGGGTGGTACTTTCTGCCATGCTGCATGGGGTCAGGAAGACAGGCACTAGTGCACCCTGCTGCTGGACCTTGCCCCAATACCAATGAATGAGAAAGAAGGGCAGCAGCTTCTTGCCATGACCTGGCAGGGGGCTGGGGAGGGCAGGCACTGTCCTCTCGTGGTAGGGGGCATCATGGGCATTTGCAGAACCAAATCCTTGGGCAAGCCTTGCCTGCAATTGTCCACTCAGATATAACAGTGAGAGCCTAAGAATGTCTACTTGACAATAAATCCCATTCCATGCAATAATCCTGAACTGTTTCTTTCCAGCCACCTATGGTATTGAATGTGAACCTTCGCCTCTGTTCCCCCATCCCCCAAGACAGGCTCACAGCTCCCTTCTGCACTTGGATCTCATCCTTGGTTTTATCAGAGTTCAACTCGCGACACAATACCTTGTGTTTATCCCTGGTTATAACAGCATCTGTTTATCCTGGGACAAGTGTGGGATGAAACTGGGGTGATCTCAATGTAATGTGGAAACAAAAAATACTCCGAGATAATTACAGGGGTGAACTTGACTGTAGTGTAGAATGTAAAAATACCCCGAGATGATTACAGGGGTAAACTTGTGTGTAGTGTAGAATGTAAGTTCAGGGACAGGGTTGAACCAGGATTTAAGGAAAGGACCAGAGTCCTTGCCTGTGACTGCTACTGCCTCCCTCCCTCCCAGCAGCAAGTAGAGGTGATGAAATTAATTATTTCTATTTGCTTCCTTCCCCCTATCAGGCACTTAAGAAAGGCATACAAGCACATATACATGCATATTGCCCACACTTGCTTCCCTCCCTCCCCACAGAAGTAAACCTAAAAATTGGTATTTTCTCATTACAATTGCACCCTTCTTTTCTTAAAAAAGGTCTACCATTGGCATTATGTAATGCTAACGCCATTAACAAAACACAATTACAAGTGTTGTGTATCGATCATGGGTCATCCCTGGGCTAGTATCCGAGACTGGGTGACCTTGTTGCTCAGGAACAATAGGTTGCTAGGATTCTGGAGGGGACCAATGGGGAAGCAGTGTTATGTAAACAGCCTATTGATGGGAGCGGGGTGTGTTTGGGTGTGGTACTTGCATGCTATTTAAACAGGGCGGGAGCCCTGGAGTTTGTCTTGTAGTGTTCCTGAAATCACTTAATAAAGTAGAGTTGTTCACTGCAATGCGTCTTGAACCCAGTATTTAATAACAAGCTTATTCTCCCCTCCTCCCACCCACCCCAGGACATACAACATATGCACATCTTGCTACTGCCTTCTTCCCCACAGCCTGGGACCAGAGCGAGCTTTGGAGTGCCTGTCCTGTCTTCTGTGTTCAGCAGAGTGCCTCTCAAGCAGCCCTGGCTCCTCTCTGCCGTCACAGTCTCTGAGCTCTGCCCTGCTCTGATCCTTCCATTAATTAATCATTTCCACATGCAGCTTCCAATTTGCAATCCTAATATTTGTTGTTATTTTTTTAAAAAAACTCATCTGCTGGAAGCACTATGTCAGTTTAGCACATTTTAGTTTTGAAAACGTTTAGGAACTCCTGCCCCTGCCTCCCCCCATTATTGTAACTGGGCTTGTGTTGGGGGAGGGACTGTGCTCGAGGGCCCTGCAAAATGCCACTACAATAATCAAATAGTTAGGCCCACTAAGGTCAGTAACTCAAGCCACTCCTCCTGCCAAGAGCATCAACAGGGCTTTGGCATTCTACCCTCAAACAGGTTAACAACACTGTAGTTTCATGCAGACAACTTCCCTCTCCCCCCAAAAAAAGGCTGAGAAAATATGAGACAACAGAAAAGAAAATTGAATTGCAACAGTTTGTAAGCACCATTATCTTAACTCCTTGAAACAAATGAGTATACAGATTACGGTGGTAGAGGAGAAACAGGATAGCCTGCAAATCCCAGGGTACAGCACAGTAGGCAGAGTGGTTCAAATCCCCTCTAGCTGTAAAATGCAGCAGGTGCCAAACAATGCTCCCTCTAAGGTGTGGAGTCGTGTGAGCAAAAATCCTACTTTGTGAGCTCCTGGCATTAAAGTTGTGAGCGGGCAATTTGGCTACTGCATAAATCAGTTTACTCTGGAGCCATCTGTCCTGAGCCAAGACAAAAATGTGTGAGCCAGAGGTTAAAAAACTGTGAGCTAGCTCACACTAACTCAGCTTAGAGGGAACCCTGGTGCCAAATCATCACCAGCATATTTTTTCCCTAAGGCAATCTCCTGGGATTACACCTGATCTCCGGGTGACAGAGATCAGTTCACCTGGAGAAAATGGCTGGAAGGTGGATTGTAAGGCATGAAGTCCCTCCCCTCACCAAAACCCACCCTCCTCAGACTCTACACCCAAAATCTCCAGGTATTTCCCAATCTGGAGTTGGCAAACATCCACATATCTTTTTCAGACTACAGTTTTAGATTCCAGGAGCACTCCCATGAATGAAATCTTATTTTCACAATGGTTCAAACTCTATAATACATTTTGGATTCATATTTATTGTTATTGTATTCAAATATGTGACTAAACAGGTTTAAATCTGTTTTTAGTCCTACAAAGTCACTGTGATCTGAACAGTTAGAATCAACTTTGCAGTGAAGTACAAGGCAAAAAGTATTCCTTGAACTCAATGTTTTCCATTGCACGTTTGCGTACACCTAACTTGAACAGTGCAGAGAGGCTATTAGTTATGCTTATTAATGCAGTCTTATATGCCACAACTCCAGTTGACTTTCAATAAGAATTGGATGAATATATCTGATGGCAAATCTGGTTCCTACATATGCAATGCAGATGAGGTAAGTTATTATGAGAAACATCCATTTTGCATTTCTTGGCTTTTTTGAATACTTAACACTGAAGCATTTCATCAACATTTATTTTTGCATGCAAATTAATTTATCTGAATTTATGCTTGTAATTTGCATTTTAAAAATTTGAAGATGCAAGTCAAGTTTTTTAAAGGGAAAGAAAGGAAAATGGGTAATGGGCTTACATTTTAAATCTTCAGTTTACTTCACAGTTACACAAAAGCATTGCTGCAAATTGTGTGCATAGCAGGGGTGGAATGGCTTCAATCTTGCTTAAGCTGTTCTATCACTAATACCAGCATTTCTTTGGTCCACCAAATTTACAAAGCAGGACAGTGTAGTCAGACTCTCTTGACAGTTAAGGCACAACTAATCCGTGTTCAGTGATCCCAAGTATGTAATTTTGCTTCAAAACGTCAGAAATTCCTTGCTGGATCAGACAGAGGTGCCCCTACTCCAGCACTTTTTACAAGTATCCCAGCAACCAGGAAGTACAAAGTGGTTCACTGCACATGGGTTGGTGGTTTATCAACAGACTTTCTCCACACCTGTTCTATACAGCCTCAAAAGCAGTAAACTGAGAATCACATTACTATGATCCAGAAACATTTTGTTCTGAAATATCAAATAAAAGTACCATGGAGCAAATGACTTTCAGGAAAGATAGCCAGTGTTGCCTAGTACCATTTAAAAGTGAAATGGAAGTGTAGTAGTACACATTCCTTTCATATATTGCACTGTGGGGACTTAAACGAAAATCTTAAATGTAGCATTCACTAGCAAGGGGGGGGGGGGAACCCGCCATTTAATCTACGGTATGTAAGCTTTGTACAAAGTATATTCCTCATAGAACTGGTGGTATTGTGGGCTCCTATTAATACTGCTGCCACAGACTGATAAGGTTACACTTCTGGATTTCTCTTATAATTTGACATGTAGGGTCCAGTTCTCATTCTCAGCTGTTCTCCCACCTGTACTAATTCTACATGAATATTTAAAAGTCTGCATATGTCTACTTAGATACGTGAACTGTCCCATGTACGCTGTCTACAGTTAACATGGACAACAGCCCCCTTTGGCATGGTTTTATGGATGGCTCTGACTAAATTTCCATTACAAATCGCTCTTTTTTTTAGGGCTTAGAAACTCAGTGGCATAACTCTGCTCAGGGCAAATTCAGAAAGCAGGG